AATTTTGACTTATTGTAGAGATGAGGTCTCGCCAAGTTGCCCAGGCGGGTCTCGAACCCACGGGCTCAGGCAATCCACTCACTTCAGCTTCCCAAAGGCGCGGAATTACAAGCTGAGCCACCGAGCCCGGCTTTTATTTTTATTTTTTTGAGTTGGAGTCTCACTCTCTCGCCCAGGCTGGAGTGTAGTGGCACACTCCCTCATGGCCACCGCAGCCTCAGCCTGTTGGGCTCAGGTGATCCTTCCACCTCAGCCTTCCAAGTAGCTGGAAGTATAGGCAAACATCACCACACCCGGTTAATTTTTTAAAAAATTTATTGTAAAGACAAGATCTCACCATATTGCTCAGGCTGGTCTTGAACAGGGCTCAGACAATCCTCTCACCTCTGCCTCTCAAAGTGCTGGGTTTACAGGTGTGAACCACCATGCCTAGCCAGGAATCCCTGGCTTTTCTTTCACCCACCTAGGGTGACAAGGACTAGACCAGATCAGCTCTCCAGCAAGTCCTGCACTCATGCGAGCAAGACCTCTCTTTAGAAATCATATCCTCTTTCACAGCCACTCAAGGTTCCACTGTAAGTGTATGCCAGTCCTAGGTGTTCAGATGTGAAGAGGCGTCCTCAGGAGATAATGAGCTCTGTAGCATTGGTGGTGAGCAACTTGATGTAAGAGACATTGTAGTAAGGACTGGGTAGAGGGTGGGATGAAAATGAGAGTATTCACGATTCTGTTAATTACTTGAATGTCTTTATTTTCAGTTCATTTGCTTTGTTTTCTTCTTTGTGCTTGACTGTATCTTCAAAGCCTTCTGCAGTACTAGTGCATAAACAACAAGGGATTTGGATCCTGCAGTCATCCTGGAAAGGAATATTTGCCACACTCCTGAATTCACCCTGCCCATAGTGGCACCATAAGACCTCTGGAAGGCAGAAGATTTCAAACCTAACCCAGGCCAGGCTTGGTGGCTCAGCCTGTAATCCAAGCACTTTGAGATACCGAGGCGAGTGGATTGCCTGAGCCCGTGGGTTTGAGACCAGCCCAGGCAACTTGGCGAGACCTCATCTCGACAAGAAATCAAAAAAATTAGCCGGGTATGGTAGCGCATGCACTGGGTTGACCGTGAGTGTACCACTGCACTCCAGCCTGGGCAACAGAGTGAGACTCTACCTTAAATAAATAAGTAAATAAATACGTACATAAACAAATAAATAAAATAAAACCTGACCCATTTGCCAAGCTACTGGTGTCTTCCACCCACCCGCCACACTGGAGAGGCGGCCTCCCTGCAGAGCTATTTTCAATCCATCTTGCATTATGCGGTGCCCTTTCCCATAGGAGAAGGCTGTTTATGTAGGGATGCCGCTTCCTTTATGGCAGCGCGTGGAGAATCCAGCCCAGCACTTGGATCGCATCTTAAACACATTCTGCTTCATTAAGCCACCCTCATCACTCATCTCCCTGACAGCAGAATTGTGGGGATTCATGGTGCCTAATCCTTTATAGAAAAATGTGTATTGACTCCTGGTCTAGTTTTGCACTTTCAATTTTTCCCACTGGTATGGGCAACAAAAAGCTTTTGTATATCCTGTGTTATCCAATAAGTATAAACTAGATGGCTATTCACAAATTCTTACAATGCCCTACATTCTGATAGAAGACATTTTAAAAGTGAACTCCTCAAAATTAACCTGAAATGTTATAGATGTAAATTAATTTTTCTTAAGAATGGAAACATTTGATTTAACTTAATCATGTACCAGTGAAATGTGAGCACTTAGAGGAAGTAATTGCGCCATGAACACAGCAATGTATAAAACCTGCTTATGGTTGGGCATAGTGACTCACGCCTGTAATCTCAACACTTGGGAGGCTGAAGTGGGAGGATTGCTTGAGCCCAGAAGTTCGAGACCAGCCTGGGCAACATAGCGAGACTTTGACCCTACAAAAAAAAAAAAAAATCACAAAAATTAGCCGGGCATGCCTATAGTCCCAGCTACTTGGGAGGCTGAGGCGGAAGGATCACTTAAGCCAAGTGGTTGGATCTATGGTGAGCTGTACTCGTGCCACTGCACTCTTGCCTGGGTGACAGAGTGAGACCTTGACTCAAAAAAAAAAAAAATTACAAGAGGGGCTAGAAGAAAATATGAAGGTACTACTCAAGGGGTTACCATTATGAGATGGCCAGTGGCTTGTTTTCTTAACTTTTTTCCCTTTCAGTTTTTTGTAACGTGATCACCTTATTTTTATTGAAAAATGTTATTATAAATAGGTGTGAAAGAATGCTGAAGTTTAATGGCATAAAATATAAATAAACATATTTTTAAAAATCTATAAAGTAGGAATAGAATTTATTAGGGCCAAATTTTGTTTCACTTTTTTCTCTTTAATTTTTTTGAAACATGTGAACATAGTATTTTAAAATATATATTAAAAAATGCATGCGTGTACACACAAATACATACATATATCATGTGTTTATTTTGCTCCCTCAAATTCCAATCTTCTGATTTTTTTCCTTATATCCATAGCTCATGAATCAGATATTGTGGATGTGAGGGAGACCAACTAATAGTACTCCTCTTCACCAGGCCCTGAATTATTATAGAATTAAGACAAGAAGACAAGCAGATAAGAGACCAAAGTAAAAGGCTTGATTGGAGGATATTAATCAACAGGCAAATTTAATCAGCAGGCAAATTTTTTTCCTAATGCTAAGAAAATTCTGAAATAAAATATATTCATCTACATTGTCTCCGGTAGAGCAGAACTGAGGCAGGTATTATCACATACTGGAGCAATATGCAAGGTATTTAACACCCCATAAGATATGGTGCTTATGCATCTAAACACTCCTCAGCTGTAAACAGCAAGTACAACCTTAAGGGGGTGTGTGCCTGCCTCTAACCACAGAAGAAGGCCAGCTGTCATTTGGGGCAGGCTAGCTCCCAAAGAGAAGGGCATCCACACCCAGGTTCTCCTTCCAGCTCACTGATTAGATAAGCCATTTCACCTCTAAAAGTGGGTAGGGAGGGCTGGAGTAGGAGACCAGCAACATAAACAAAGAAGGAAGGAAACATAAACAGAGAAGACTCCTCCAGATGAACAGACCAAAATGTAAAACTATTAAAAGCTGTGCTAAGCACTTTTAAGAAAACACACTAGGAGCTATGATAGACAGCAAGAGTGAAAAGAGCTTATACATATTTATGTTATTTTCAACATGAGAGTAGAGTTCTTTAGTATCTATTTACTTAGCTGTAAGAAAAATTATATGTATACAATAGAAATGTAAAAACCTTAGGACATATAGTTGCAATTTTGATAGGTATTTATCTTCACATTGCCTGTTGCACAAAGAGCATTGTTGGAACACAATATAAACTGTAAGCCGAGCCAGATTACAAAAATGGAATGTTGGTCCCTTCAAAAAACTGGGTAAGTACATTATTTTCAAGATCAAGGTTTGAAATAATACACTATCTCAAATAATACTGTAAATAATCAGGTAAGATTCCCCGTTGTTTGCTTACTCTGTTCTTTCTCTGTTGGGAACTTTTCTCATGGAGAAAGCCACCATTGCTTTGAAGAGATATTCTTCATTTGTATCCCAGACATACTGAAAGAGAAGGACAACAGAAAATACAGAGGCATGGGATAGAAAAATGGTCCGTTGTGTTCTAACAATGATTCCTCCTCCCTCCTCTGTCCCTCCCTCTCTCCCTCTCCCTCTCCCTCTCCCTCCCTCTCTCTCTCTCTCTCTCTCTATATATATATATATATATATATATATATATATAAAATATATATATATATATATCCCCCTCCCCTTTCTCTCTCTCTCCTCCTTCCCTCCTCTCTCTGTTTCTTTCTCTCTCTCTCTCTCTCTCACACACACACACACACACACACACACACACACACACACACACACACACACACACACCTTTCTCATACATGGGAAACTGGAGACCATGCCAAATCATATTCCCATAATGTTCAGGGTAGGGCTTCCTGGACATTCTGTAATTCCAAGTTTGGTGTGTTTCCTGATGCACAATCTCCCTCAGAACTTGCAGTATCAGTTGCCAGTCAACAAATAAGGCATCTGGACATTTCATCCTGGCCATATAGGGTCTGTTTACTTACTCCCTTTCTCTCTTCCCATATAAGCTCCCTTTCAGTTTCCTTTCCTTTGTTAACATCAGTAAAATTTTTCTTTTTTTTTTTTTGAGTTGGAGTCACTCCGTCGCCCAGACTGGAGTGCAGGGACATGCTCATGGCCACCGCAGCCTCGACCTGCTGGGCTCCGGTGATCCTTCCACCTCAGCCTTCCAAGTAGCCAGAACTACAGGCACGCGCTACCACGCCCAGCTAATTTTTGATTTATTGTAGAGATGAGGTCTGGTCAAGTAACCTGGGCAGGTCTCGAACCCGCGGGCTCAGGCAATCCACTCACTTTGGCCTCCCAAGCACTGGGATTACAGGCTGAGGCACCGAGCCCGGTCTTTTTTATTTTCTTAGCTGGAAACTTGAGTGTGTGTGCATGTTATAAGCTGAATTGTGTCCCCTCAAAAAAAGATTCATGTTGAAGTCCTAAATCCCAGTACCTCAGAATGTAACTGTGTTTGGGACAGTGTCTTTATAGAGATGATTAAGTTAAAATGAGATTGTCCCAGTGGGCCCTAATGCAGTATGACTGATGTCCTTAGAAGAGGAAATTTGAACACAGACTCTGGATAGAGGGAAGACAAAGTAAAGACACAGGGAGAAGACAGTCATCTACAAGACAAAGAGAGGCCTGGAACAGATCCTTCCCTCACAGCCCTCAGCAACCAACCCCACAAACACCTTGAACTCAAATTTCTGGCTTCCAGAAGTGAGGGAAAATAAATGATTGCTGTTTAAACTACCCAGTGTGTTACTTTGTTACGGCAGTCCTGCAAGCTAATATAGTATATTTGACTCATTCTACTCCTTAATGTAGCACATGTAAAAAGCCTGAAGCAAAAGAGACTGGCATGTTTAAGGACCCCCAAGGAAGTCAATGCAACTAAAGCAGAAACAGGAAGGGAGAGAGTGGTACAAGCTGAGCACAGGAAGGGAGCAGGTGGCAGGGAGGTGGCATAATCCAGGGACATTGGTGGATTGGGATTTCACTCTGGGATGGGGAAACACTATGTATTACCACTGCCTTTCCCCTCTTCTGGTGGTAGGAGGTATAGTAAGTAAAAATAAATGACTCCTAAATAACAAAACATAAGTGTATCACTCAGTTACTTTTTCTGGGTAAGAAAGTTTATAACTGCACCTCTTCCTTTCTCCTACTTTCATAACATGTTATTTAAACTTCCTTCAATTGCTTCTTCCATTTCACCGTTCTCTTTCACTCCTGTCTTACATAACTCTGTAGTAAGATGTTACTGCCAAGAAAAGAAAACCCAATCTTGTTTTCCTCACTCAAACATTGAGTATCGCATTTTAATGTCAACTTTAGATCCTATTTGAGGTGCTCCTTCAATCTTTTAAAATGAACTTTTCATTTTATGAAATACTATGAAAGTTTAAAAATAACTGATTTGTGGCATAGCTTTTTGTTTCTTGACAATGCATTTGTTCCTAAAATTAGTTTTACTTGGGATAAGAGTAGCTATGATCCAATCTAATAAATAAATGAAGAAAACATAAACAAGAAATGAGTATCCTTAAAAACAGCACACAAACACTATCAGGCAGGGAAGCCTTGTTAACAGAATGTAGAAATGAGAAATAAGTCTGCTTAAGTACAGATGAGAGTAATAAGCTCAAGGCAGTAAATAACAGCAAAGATGCTTGCAGGCTCTCCTTGGGGCATGAATTTAAGTTGTTTTTCAACTCTTGGGGATGATTTGACCTGATCTAGCCTTTCATTGTTTCCTTTTAAAACCAAGAGCTTAAGCTGGTTGAGTAGAAGTCCCGTTTACTTTATAACCCAGCAATTCTACTCCTGGGTATATACCGCAAAAAAGAAAGCATATGGAAAATACATGTACAAGAATGTTCACAGCAGCTTAGTTACCTGCTGTGTATATACTTGACATATAATAGGTGCTCAATGTGTGAAATTAGACATATCTTTATAACCCATGTGTGGCTTCAGAGACCAAGAGTGCATATTAGTTGCACATATTTAGGCAGCAGTTCATATTCCTTGGTTCTTCGTTTCAGTAACACTTGTGCCAAGGCCCTAAATGCCCCCAGCTCACCTTACTTTTTGGACACATCTAAAAACACTCAAACCATAGTTAACCCTACATTGTAGGTAAGTAATCAGCATAACTGGAAAAAATAACAAAACAGGGTTAGTTGGCTTAACTCTAAATTCTTGATGACCCACTCCCAAATTGTCAGGTAATCCCTTAGGTTTCCCCATCAGTTCTCGCTTTCATGGGTCATGTGACCATTTCAAATTTCCTCCAAGCCCCAGATCTCAATGTTTTCCCTCACACCTTGCTATCCCTGGATGCTTTTGCTTCATAGTTTATATATACATCTCAAGTTATACATTTAAACTCTTCCATCTTCCTGACACCAAGATACAAAACTTCCTCCATAGACACATGTCCTCTCCACCTCCTTTCCTAAAGTGTCTATCGGGGGTTATTTCCTCCACCTCTTAGGAGCACTTCTGCTCTGCCCATCTCAGGATCTCTACAATATTCACTGCCCTCCTCTCCTCTGTGCATTCAACTCTGACTCTTACCTGTCCATTGTCTTTTAACCAAGCTCAAATGCTTCCCATTAAAGCAACAGCAAAAACAAATCTCTTTACTCAATTGTCCTTTCTTCTACCTACTGCTGTCTCTTTCCTCCCCTTCACAGCCAACACTCTCCAAGGAGTTGTCCGCACTTCCATTTCCTCACATTCACTGCCCACTTATTTTTAGCGCTTTCCATTATCTGCCTTCCAGCTCCAACACTCCATAAAAACAGCTCCCTCCAAAGTCGCCATTGACCTCCACATGGTTTGATACAATGAGCGTTTTTCAGTCTTCATCTGGCTTGGCCACTCAACACCATTTGATGTTTTTGAGTACTCTATCTCAAAACAAAACATGTTCCGTGGCCTGGTCCCTCCTTTCTCTAAGCTCATCATATGCCACGCTCCTCCTCACTGCCCCAATTCCAGACAGCTTAGCCTTCTTTCTGTCCTTCTTTCTCACCAAGTTCTTTCCCATTGTAAGCCTTTGCACATGCTGTTCCCTCTGCCCTTCCTTCTTCTATTTCCTGGTTCACTTCTACTCATGTTTCAGAGCTCACAGCAAGTGCCAGGTACCAAGGCCCCTGACAAAGCACAGGCTTTTCCCTTGTGCTTCTTGAACTTCCTGTAAAGCGTGTCAAGAGTGCAGATTTGTATTTGGTTTACTGGATATTTAATGGACAACTGATTCTCCCACTATTGTAAGTTCCACAAGGGCAAAGACAAGCCTGATTTTAATCGCCATTGCAACCCCAGCATTCGGCATGCTGCCACCAGAGGATTCTGGGATGACCAACCCTACGCACTTGTCGAGAGTGGATTCAGCAGTCAGCCTGCCTGGATTCAAATCTTACTTTTGCCACTTACTGATTTGAGATCATCAGCAGACTATTTAATTTCTTTGCACCTCAGCTTTCTCATCCATCCAGTGGGAATGGGAGTATTTGTACTACTTTCCTTACAGGATTGTGAGGGCTAAACAAGTCAACAGGAGTAAAATGCTTAGAAGGACCTCAGCTGGAGAGTAAACTAAGTTCTCAACAATGCTAACTGTTTTAACAATCATTACTAACAGCAAATGATAAAACAATGCATTGGTGGACTGGCCTGCAAACAGAATATCTCTGTTTCTTTAGCATTCTTTTTGTTTCTAGTCTATGGCATCTTAATATCACCTTCTACTGGGGGAAAAAAAAACGTGCAGAACCCGGAACAGAATTAGCCAACATTGTCTTATTAATCCAGTGGTCTTTACTGTTCCTATAGCCACATGGGCCCTATGAGTAGTTCTTTTTTTTTTTTTTTTTT